GTCTGCCTTTATGCAGGGTCTTATTGCATCATCCAGCCACAGCACTGAGCTATGAATGCTTATTGACTAGCAGACTGTAATAGTGTTAACAGAGTGTTATTACAACAGGTTTAGACTGCTACCTGTACACAAAACTTTATCTCTGGTGATTATTCAATAAATAAAGGTTTAAGAGATGTCTGTATGAAAACAGACAATTATCTTTGTGTACAGATAGACTGTACTTGGTTCTTGACATCCACTGCCTAACATTACTGTTGCTATGTTTGCTTAACCTTCTGTTTATCTGATGTCTTTAATATGGTGGCAAAAAATAGATGGACTGCTTCCAGTTGGAGACCTCAGTCTTGTATAAGGGACAATTTCAAATGGCCTTGAAATACCCATCTTGGAATCTGGATTCCTGTTCTTTGTCCACTCTTGTTTGATTCATTTCATTGTGGTTTTCCACCTGTTGTCTTTGTGGTCTCTAGTTTTTGTCAGAAAAGTCGGGATCTGTGTCTAGCACCTGAGAGCTGTCTTTATCATACTCCACAGAACAAAACTGTGGTATGAACACATTTTTAATTTCTTTAGTCAATTAATGACAGCTTCCTTTGATACATTTTTTTTAGGGAAGGTCCAAATCACACATGTTGCATCATAAATTGTCTCCAGCATATTGTGAAAAAGTCCTGGTGTTAAACTGACCTGCCTGCAGTTCGTAATATTATTCAACACGTTCTCATCTCAACACGTAACATACCGACAGTTTGTCATAGTCGTCGGCATGAGAGCGGGTTGAATCTATAAATGTGTGACATGAAGATCAAATCTGTTCACTTTCAGATCCTGAATCACTTTGGAAAACACTATGTGTATGGTTAAGGTTAGGGTTAGGGCTGGAATGGATGGCTGGAGCCTGTGCTTCAAGCGTGTCAAGCGTTTCATAAGGACAGACAGTTATCTTTTATGTTACTATGAGACGCTTAGGGGAGTGACAAATGTTATGTGTTGGGAAAATTAAATAGATAAAAATAATAAAATAATTTACATTTCTTGAATTTCTTGGACAAGTATGTATTGCTGATCCCAGTCTGGTATAGTCTGAGGCATGAATAAATTATGCATTATTTTAGCACAGACTGCTAACGTGATACGGTTAAAAGAGCTTAGCGTGCACCAAAATGAGGTAGTGGCTAACACACTGCACGAATAACAAAGACCAGAACGAAATAAAAAATTCAAAAGGTGCAATTGGACACATTGTGATTTTAGTCTCTGGCTATTTTATGACTTGTCTCATTTTCTAGTCACCGCAGGTTTAGCTGTGACTCATACTCATTATAAAACAAAAAATGTTCCCAGCATAAACTTTACTGTATGTAGCAAATACAGTAAAATTATAGTAAGTAAATATATTGTATAAAGTTCATTTTGTATTATGGTTTTTGTTGTGTGTTCTAATAGTGTTTAAGAGTGCATTTGAGCAAACTGTTGCAAAGACTCAGATTGCACTGACAGTTTTAAATCTGCAAAGAAACTTGCTGATGCTAAAATATGTGCATGTCAGTAAACACAGAAAAATCATATCTTGAAGAATGCAGTGTTGTGTTTCATAAATCATTACTGCCATTGGCTCTGAGAATCCATATTGATTAAATTCGTAGATGATTAAATGTCCTGTGCTGAACAGCAGTGAAAAGGGGAAAACAACTTTAAAAAGTTTTTGTAATTAACAAAAAATGTCATGAGAAACA